TTTGGCGGTTTCAGACTGCCACAATATTTAAGCACCTCATTTTAAACGTTGCCAACTTTTAGACATGTGACCAGCTCAATCAAAATATTTTTTTATTAAAAGAATAAAATAAATTTTTTTTTTACAATTTTAGTTCAAAATAATCAACCTAAACGATGGTTGTGAAAATTCAAGCTCCTTCGTTTGCTCTTTCGTCTCTATCATTACTGTTCGTGAGGAGCTTCTCTTTTCTACTCGATTAATCCATTCATGGTGAGTTTTCGATCATCCAAGTGTATTAAATCTGTTCTGTTTTCTTCAATTCATACTCGCAATTTGCCATTCTCTAATGAGAATCAAAACCTAGGTTATGAAACCTGCACGCGGGAAATGTATGCATTCAATTGATCTTAGGGTAGGATTTCATATACAATTTGTTTCTGTCTAAGTCAATTTGTTTCTGTCTAAACTATCATTTCCTATTCTCCTGAATTTTGCTGATGGTTGTGTTGTCCCTGTAGCTTCGAATCGGACAGCGAAATTTGCTAGGAGAGTTTCAATTTCAAATCCTGTCGGGGATTCATTTGGTATTGCACTCGCTTTTTCTCTCCGCACTCGCTTTCTTTTTTTCTCTCTCCTAGGGTTTGCTCCGCCATTAACCCACTGTTCACCGCAAAGTCAAGCTCAATTTACATGGGTGAGTTTCTCCCTTCTGTTTCACTCTTTGGATTCCGCAAAACGCTAAGAAAATGAACAAGATTCCTTTTCTTTCTCGTTTGTGCTTGTTATTGTCACGTGTCGATTTTGTGTGTTTGGCGTTCTGTTGGTTGTTTTGATCATTTACGTTTGTGTGGATCGTTATGGAGCAGAGTTAACCATTGTTTTGACTTTGATGAGTTTGATCATTTGTCTTGATGAGTTAACCATTGTTTTGTTTTTCAATTCGAGGACGGTACGGGTATGGGTACGGGGCGGGTACCCGTACCTGTACCCGTACCCAATTTAATATATCAAGTTTTACCCGTACCTGTACCCATACCCGATCAAACTGGGTATTCCCCGTCAAAGTCGAGACGTGTTCGAGTATTACTCGCAGATACGGGTATATTTGCCCGTCCTGAAAGTGGTTTGGTTAAGTTCTTGATCTATTTAAAATTGTTTCTAAGTTAAACATTTAAGCTATTATCAATCACTAACAGCATAATTTCAACCTGATTGAATTGACTTAACCGAACTATAATTATTAAAAAGAATATAACTTAACTTTTTGAATAATTATTTTCATAATCATCCGCCAGCAATGATGTGGAATCCTACAGGCAATATATGATTACAGAATAAAGCTATAAAAGTCAATGAAATTAAATCAAGAGTCCGTCTGTTTGAACATTTCATCTTCCATTTCCCACTCCTTACTCATTTCTTCTAAAGATGCAAAATGACATTACATAATTATAACAATAATAAGGTTTAAATATAATTGATATTTATACTTTTATAAATTTTATTTTTAATTATAAGGTTTAAAACTGGTAAATATTATGTATCAATAATAAAGGTTAGAAAAAAATTATAAAGATAAAAGAATAAAAATAATATGTATAGAAGACTGGTATAACATTTTTAATTACAAAACTAAAAAATAAAGTTTATAAGCAAAACTTATGTTCAAATTGTGTATAAATGAACAAAATTTTATGTTCAAAATTTGATATATGATAAAAACAGACCCCACTTAAAAGAAATCCGAATTCTTCAACAAACAAACATTACTGATCCGTGGTATAACAGTACTTTGGCATAATTCTTTTGTTATCAATTCAAGCTTTAACAAAGCTAAGTTGTTCCACTTGAGCAGACACCAGAATTTTTTCATTTCGAAAAAAAAAAACAAAAAAGACACCGGCATTTTTACAACATCCAAAGACAAAGTCCTAGGATAAGAAGTGGGAAGGGGGGAACTCCAATCTCTTGCATTGCACATTTTTGTTTGTACCTTACTTGTGTCATCTTCATTGTTGCTACCCTACCCATGATCTTGGAACTGAGATGCCACATTGACTAACATTACATTAGATCTCAAGTTGAAGTCTTTGAGGGTACCCATTACTCCCACAATCATGGGTGGTTTGAGTCTGAGGGAATCGTGGTGTTTCTGCAAAGGGGTGAGCAAGTCTGAGAGAATGAAAGCTGCAATCTTTACAGGGAAGGGTCAAGCCATAGCCACAATAACAACCACTGCACCAAATGGGGTTTCCGGCACCGGATTTTTGATCCACCGGAACCTTCTCTTGACCACTCACGCCAACCTCCCCTCGGTGGTCGCCGCCGACAGCTCCGAGATCCGGCTGCATAATGCTGTTGCTGCCACTCTTGTTCCTCAGAGGTAACCCCATTTGAGGATAATGCCGTGATTTTCATCTTACTTGCTGTCAAAATTGGAGGAAAATGTAACCAAACTGTTATTGTCTTTTCTTCTTGTTTCTTAAAACAAAAAAAGTTTTTTTTTTTGGTGGGGTGGTGGTAGTTAAGATTTTGTGAATTTGGTAGGTAGAGGAGGGAGATAGGTAGGCTAGTGGAGGGTTTCTAAGCTTTCTTGTTAAGATTTGCTTCTAGAAGCTGGTAACCAATGCAGTTAATGTCGTAAACTTGGATTGAAATTCAGTCCCAAAATGTTCTAAACAATTTATTGTTAGAATTGACAAGTGTAGAGTGGTTTTGGTAAGAGATCCTAGTATTTGAAAGCTACTTATGGCTTTGACTAATTGTGGTCGGTGGATTTACTTGTAGAGACAAAAGCTCCTGTTGCTTGATTTTTCTATTTGAGACTCAAACTTGATACATTGCTCGGGGGGAACCGAACTCTTTGACACTTGAACCAGGAAACAATTGAAATGAAATATTAGCTAATCTTGGGTTTTTTAAACTATTTCTGGATGCACAATATGCATCTTTCTAGCTTTATCACCGTACAATATATTCCCCAGCACACCTTTCTTGTCCCTAACTTAATGTTCATTTGATGATTTATTCTTCCTTTGTTGATTTTCCTTATACTTGCAATTCAGTGAAGTTTGAAAGTTTTTGTTGCTTGTTTCTTTTTAAAGCAGTTGTAGCTGTAGCTAACATTAGTTTACTTTAAGGATATTCATGTAGAATATTAATGGTGATTGCTAATATAGTTTATTACTTTTGGAAGGTAATTTCTACACATGTGAACCAGTATCATTTGATTCCATTTCCATGTAGCAATGTATATATATTACATTGTAGTTGCACATTCACATATTTATAAGCTTGACTACTTGGTTTCATGATCACTTGGCCTATCCTCACCAACTTGGCCTACAAGCAGATATATAGAACTACACAACTGCAATGTATGAAATCTTAATATTTATTTGGAAACCTTGATTTTATTTAATTTACGGTTAGATCTAACTGTTTCTACTTCTGGGAACAACAGACCAAAATAGTAATTAAAGCTTAGTGTAAATAATTAATAGTTATTGGCTTATGTTTTGTGTATTGACGTCAATAACTATTAGTAATTGCAATATGTGTTCTAGTTATGATGCTTTGTAGCATTATTCATTTAAATGTGTGAATATGTATTCCTTCAAGACTCTAAAATTTACTTTGTTGACTTATCGTTCTGGCACATGTATACCAAACTAGAGATTGGTATGGTTCTATAGTCAGTAACTAGTTGTTAGCATCTGCATGTGAGGTATTCAGTAGTGTATGGTATTTGAAGTCTTGTTCTTTAGAAGTATTTTATCATTCTTAAGAAGTTGTGTATATGGGATCAAGGTTTTATATAGTGCTATAGCGGTGTAGGGTTGCTGTAGCGGAACGGTTTAGTGTAGCTAACCAAATAGTGGGCTGAATAGCAGCTGTAGCGGGCGCTATAGTGGTGCATTCTTAAAAAAATACTTCTAAGCAGAGATATATTAGGGTTTTGTGGAGGTCTACTTTTGGAATTTTAATCTCCAAAAATGAAATCTATAAATGTTATAGTAGTGAAAAGGATAAAGAAGACTTCGATTTAGAAGATGATGATACTGATGATTCCTATGTTGTATATACTTGTATGTTTTGTTTAAGACAGCTATGACTTTTTATTGTTAATTACTAATGTCATTAATTGAGTAATTTTCATATTTTCAAAATAGCGGCTGTCTTGCCATATGCTATCTTGCTATAGCATTTTTGCTGACCGCTATTCAGGATTTAAAACATTGTGTGGGATATGATAGATCCCAACAGTCAAGATTCAGAATTGAAATAGAAGAGAGATGAGAGAAGGAAGAGAATCAGAGAGAAAATGTATTATTCTGCTTTACAAAGGGAAGAAAGACACCTTCACGCTGTAAAATCAGTTTATTATCAATTACAAAATGAATGTCTCCCTAATTCTATGTACAAGTGTATTTGTAAGTCTCACATAGTCCAAGTCAAAGTGAGCCCTCAATTATTTTAACTACCGCTGCCTAGAATAAACCTTTAATGTTGGAACCTCTTGGTTCCTAACATCTCTCTCCTCCTGTTGAACCTTGTCCTCAAGGTTGAATTGAGGAAGCTGCTTCCTAATCACCTGAATGTCCTCCCAAGTTGCTTTCTCTGCAGTTCTATTCTTCCACTGGACCAAGATTTGTGTTACTTGGTACCCTCGCACATATTCTTCAATTGACACTTCTTGTTTCATTGTTACTAATCTTTCAAACACACTACCCCTTGTTCTATTACCAAACCTCCAAATTAGATCCAAGGTGAAGGAATCCCATGAAGAGTTAGGGTTCTTTTGCTGCCAAAATCAAAACCAGTGGATTGCTGGTCCATCCATACTAACGAATGCAAGTTGGAGTTGTTCAAAATGAGGAATATGTTGAATCTCAAAGAATTTCTCGACTCTCGCAATCCACCCCAAAGGTTTTCTTGACTCTTGCAATCCACCCAATTGGATTGAAGCCTATTCCACTTTCTTGATCCATTTATGACTTTCTTGACTACTCTTGAAAGACCCATTAGTGGATGACATCAGTGTTTTCTGCCCTACACTACTAGCATCCCCATCTTCATCATCGTTTGCAACTGCATCAATACCTTGCTTCTTCATTCACTTTGCCAACATTTCCATGATGTCTCCAGCATTTGCGATCCCCTTCTTCAACCCCCCAAGTTGAGTTGTATGTTGGGCTGCCAACTTTTTGATATATTCAACAGAGGTTTCCAATGCTTCTATTCTTGTGTTCATTGCTATTGTTCACATTGGTGCTTCCTTGAATATCTGATATGTTGGACCTTTTGATAGATCTCAACAATCAAAATTCTGAATTGAAATAAAAGAGAGATGAGAGAAGGAAGAGAATCAGAGAGAAAATGTATTATTCTGCTCTGCCAAGGGAAGAAAGACCCCTTCACACTGTAAAATCAATTTTTTATCAATTACAAAATGAATGCCTTCCTAATTCTATGTACAAATGTATTTATAAGTCTCACATAGTCCAAGTCAAAGTGATCCCTCAATTATTCTAACTACGGCCTAGAATAGACCTTTAATGTAGAAACCTCTTGGTTCCTACAGGATAATACAAGAGTTACATACTAAGAAATCAAATTATAGTCTTGTCTTTCTCGATTTTCATAGGACAAAGGCAAAAATATATAAAAAGAAAGTTTGAAGATCTTTTAGAAAGGCTATCTCATGTTTCAATTGTTTCCGTTGATACCCTAGAACATTAAATAGTTTATTCTCTTTCCATTCACTCCATTGACATGACTATTTGGGCTCGACATTTACATGATTTGCCTCATATTTCAGAAATTGTTGTTTGTAACTTAAAAATATCTCAATAAACCTTGAAATTGAATATATAGAAACTAGTGTATAATCTTTCCATACTTGGCATTTTAAGATTTTAACTTTTAGTTGACTATAACTTTTTAATGGCAAATGTTGAGCGGTAATATATAGAAGATGCATTGCTATCTGAAAAACATCCAAATGTTATGTATAATGTATAAGAAATGAACAGTCCATGAAACATGCAGTGGAATCAAAAACAACCTGAAACAATTTCGAAGTCAAATTCTGGTTTTGATATTTTAGCATCATGTCAAATTGATAATCTAATTCTTAAGAATTTGGTCGAGTTTTCTGCAAAGGGAACATTCAAAAAGACGTGTAGACATAGAACACAATTTTCCGTACTATGTCTAATCTGCCCGTAAGTTTGAATCTTGCATCCTTAAAATGAGAGTTGTATGTACATCTTATTGGTGTATTTGAGGGAGTTCTAATTGCTATTCCATTTTCAAGGAAGTTTCTGCTTATTTTACTGTTAGTAATAATTCTCTCTTTCATATTACTCTCTTTTAGTTGAATTCATTATAGAAAACACAGTTACATAGTAACTGACTCTCATGGAGGGCTGATTATGTAGAATTCTCATGTTATTCAATGTGCAATGAAAGTTTGCTCTAGTTTGAGTACTTTGTTTCTGGCATTATATATCCAATATTTAAGCATCTCGGTTCAGATTATGCTTTCTGAAACTTCAGTCAACACTTAGTAGCATGTATGAAGTTCCTCCTAGTGCTCCTTTTGGCATGTAGATACAGATGACATTTCATTTTTTAGACCAGCACCATTTTTCATTCAATATCTTTGCAGAATTTGAAATTTTATGTTTGTGTTTACTTTATAAACATAGATTGAATTACATTATATTTGTATATTGTTTTATGACTTAATTTACACTGTGGTCTTACTGTTTTAATGATTCTAATCATATTACATATATATTATTTTCTCTTAAAAATAGGTGACTGCTTTACTCAACTGCATCAAAATGATGTGAATTTTGGGTTTGCAAATCTCACTCTGCTTCTTGCCTCATTGAGACAACTCCTTCAAAAAAATTCCTTTGGTGGATATTCAAAGAAATTGACAGTTTTAATTTAGTGATTTCTCAACATTTCTTTTTCTTTTTTCTGGGAGGGCAGTGGGTACTTTTTGAGGATATATCTCATGATGCTCTTCGGTAAATTTTTTTATCTTATTATAGAAAGAGAGATCTATAGCAGCCACTGTCACTTAAAGTAGTCCTTAGAGTGATTATTTGTAAAGCAGACCTTATTTTATTTTTCTTACCTGGTTTCAGGTTTTTCATAACAAGTTCTGTATTAGATCTTACAATTGTGGGTTTAGACGACGTGGATGGAGACTCGAATGCACCGGCTCAGTGCCCTCACTACTTGAAGACCAGTTCCAAAGCCAATCTGGATCTGGGAAGTGTAGTTTACCTTCTAGGCTACACAGATAAACATGAGCTCACTGTTGGTGAAGGAAAGGTGGTCATAGCTACAGACAATCTCATTAAACTGTCAACTGATGGAATTCAATGGAGTCCAGGTTCTGCAGGTTTTGATGTGCATGGCAACCTAGCTTTTATGATATGTGATCCTATGAAATTAGCCACATCACCAAACACTAAATCGCCTTCAACTTCTTCATCATCATCATCCTCTTGGAAGAAAGATCTCCCTATGCAATTCGGCATACCGATTCCTGTCATATGTGATTGGTTAAACCAGCATTGGGAAGGCAACCTCGATGAGCTTAATAAGCCAAAACTACCAATCATGCGACTCATGTCCAACGGCCCAAAGAGCGAGCACTCGTGTGCTTCCTTCACCCTGCGGCAGGTTTTCAAGTCAACCGAAGGCAACGAGGATGGCACCCCATCTTCATCAAACAATGCCTCAAAGGCAAGAGATCAGGGACCAAGCTCTTCTGCTGTTACCAACACAGTCGAAGAAGAAAGCTTGACCACTAATCCAAATGCTGCACATGTACAGGGAATTCCCACTCCAGAAATATACGAATCGCCGAGAGTAACTGCGGTGCCACTAAGACGAAAAGAAAACACACCAATGCAGCTTTTGGACATCAATTTTCCTCCGAGGTCTTCCAAGCCTGCAGTTTTTCCACAGTCATCCAAACCAAAGTCTGCTGAAAATCACGCCAGAGAACCTTTGCCTGAAAACCAAGTAGCAGGAGAACAAAACACTCACACAAGGCCAACAACTCCTATCCCAGAAGTTTCCTCAACAGGCTCTGTAAATGGCGCAGCCGAAAGCGAGGTCCAGTCTAGCTCATCTCCCGTGGAAGTAGCTGGGATGATGCAAAACGGATACAGCAGCGAAGGAGAGACCATGTACTCGGCGGAAACTGCCGAGAGCCGCAACTACACGAGCCCCAGGGAGTTGAAATTTCAACAAGTGGGAAGGAGCCAGAGTTGTGTTAGTTACAATAGGTGGGGTGCTACACCTAGAAGCCAAGTTGCGCGTGGAATGGTGGTGGAAAATCAGAGAAGCTTCATGCATGTGAAGAGAATGTATTCCCAAGGTGCAGCAACAACATCTCAGCGAAGCAATGACTATTTCAGCCCCACTGTCTCTTCAATCATGAAACGTAATAGCAGCTCAAGCAAACCACCACCTCGCCAAACTGCTGTTCATTCTCCTTCACCCAGATGGATGTTTTGATTCATTCATACTTTATATATATAATTATATATGATGTTTCTACTTCATAAAGTAAAATTGGAAGAAAAAAAAAAGTTAAAGAAAAAGAGTATAGTGGCTTTATTATGTTTATATTCTTTTCGTTTAACATATTTATATGCTCTTTTTTTTTTTTTGAAACATGTGCAAAAGACTAGTTATGGTGATAAGGAATTTAATCCGAAATGTAGATTTCTTTCAAAATGATTCAAGGTCATTATTAGCTCCATGTTGAGTACAATGTTCTATCCAAAATTTAAGCTAGAATTGAATGTGGAATGTCAGAGCACAGACTTTATCTTCAAGAGTTAAGGCCTGTTTAGGTAAATTCCCTCAAAAGCACATATAGGGGAGAAAAATAAGAATTTTTTTTAAAAATTAGTTTATGTACAAGTTAAGTGTAGAAGTTTTTCTATTAATTTTTTAATTTATGCATAATCTGAAATAAAAAAAATTAACTTCAAATATTTTTTCGTATTCTTTTTTCTCTTAAAAGTGTTTTTAAAAAAGTTTATTAAAATGGATTCAAAAGCTAACTATGCATGAATCAAGGAATTACATTTTAAATTGATATTCAATGTGGGTCTAAAGCTAGTATTTCTACATTACATTATATGTAATAGATAAAAATAAGAGGGCTCATATGTTAGGGTCAAAATTAGAAAACCGTTATAACGGTTATGAGTTGTAATTAGATAAGAGTGGGAAAAGATAAAAATGAGTGTAAGTATGGGTATATAAGGCCTTTTGTGTATGCCATTAATTCTCATGAATAGAATTTTAAATTTCTTTGTTCCTCTTCAACCTTCATTGTTGAGAGTGAGTGAGTACTATTTGGAGAATTGAATTTGTTCGTAATAATTTGGTATCAACTAAGTCGGAAATGATGGTGACAATGAAAGAACTCGAGACACGCATGGACACAATGGAAAAGAAGATGGTAGATGTGCAAGAGTTAACACAAAAGACCTTGGAAGCATTGCAGAAACCGATCGATGGATTAGTTTCCTCAATAACAACCTTGAATGTTGGTCGAAAAATCACGAAAGAGAATGAATCACACAATGAGACGTCGAAAACTCCCTCCTCGATTCTTGATAGAACCCAACTGCACTTCCATCTTTTGATGGTACCAATTTTCCTGAATGACGAGCAAAAATAGAACAATTCTTCGAGCTCGAAGGCACATCGGAAATTGTCTACTTCTTCTCTCCATGGATGGCAAGGCATTCTCATGGCAACATTTCAAACACTTGATTTTCAGAGCAAAACATGGATTCAGATCTTGCAAGATGCTGGAAATAGATTTGATGATGGAGCATTTGACAACCCAGTTGCAGAACTCGCAAGATTGAAACAAGAAGGTTCTTTAATTCAATATCTAGAAAATTTCGATAATGTTTAGGCCCATGTGACGATCTCGAGGAGATAGCATTAAGCTTCTTCCTCTCCAAATTACGTTTAGAGTTGGAGAAATCAGTTTGTGTCCATCGACCATCTACAATCCAAGAAGCTATGAGATTGTCACGTTTATAAGAAAAAGTGCTTCAAAAAATTACAAAGAAACTCAATGGGAACAAATCGACCAACTTTGAGACACAAGTTAGATATTCAAGATCTTGCTCTGGTGCAAATCAAAAAAACAAAACTCAACCTATGACTATACTACAACAAAATCATACAACATTATCAGAAAACTTAGCTTCTGTTGCAAACTCAAAATCTACCACTACAAGCTCAATTTCCAAGAAAGAGGTCAGTGAGCGTATTTCTAAAGGATTATGTCATTTCTGTGGTGAGAAATGGGATAAGAACCATAGACTTAAGTGTAAAGTTTGGGGAAATTAAATGTCATTTTCTCTAAACAAGATGAGTTTGATGAATGTGTTAATTCAGATTCTGAAAAAGAACAAGACAATGAATTGGTGGAACAAAGTCTAGAATTGGTCAAAGATTCAAATGTTCATATCTATTTACATGCATTACAAGGTGTAGCTGGTGGTAACACATTACAATTGAAAGGACTAATAAAAAAAATAAGAGGTTCCCATCTTGATGGATATAAGAAGTACATATAATTTCATCAGTGAAAAATGGATGAAGCTATTAGGATTAAAAACCATTTTCATTAGGGACTTTCCTGTAATAGTAGCATTAGAAAAACAACTTATGATTACAAGAAAATGTCCTCAAATGACCTGGAAATTCAACAATCATTCATTCATGGCTGATTTCTTGGTTTTTCCTAGTAGCCATTTTGGAGTAATACTTGGCATGCAATGGTTTAAGACACTAGGTGAAATCTCTTGGAATTGTGCCTAATTGACCATGAAGTTTCAGCGTCAAGGAGAAGTAATCACATTACAAGGTGAACAACATCAGAGTGACAATGTACAAGTCTCAGGAAATCTAAAAACAACATAGGTTCAAACCATGTTACTTGCTATAAAAGTTGTTGTTTGCTTCCACGCTACAACTAATTAGAATGCACCATAATTAACAACCACACAACATTCTCAATTGGATGCATTACTACAACAATTTCAAAATTTATTCCAAGAACCACCCCATTTGCCTCCAAAATGAATGTATGATCATAAAATCACACTAACAAACAATATACCTGTTTGTTTAAGACCATACAAGTACCTACATAACCAAAAAGTAGAAATTGAGGGGCAAGTCAAAGCTTTGCTGTCCACTGGCTTTATTAGAGAAAGTTCAAGCTGCTATGCATCACCTATAGTCTTGGTCAAGAAGAAAGATGGTTCCTGGAGATACTGCATAAACTTCAAAAAACTTAATGCTCTCACTATCAAAAATAAGTTTCCAATGCCCTTAATTGAAGACCTCTTGGATGAATTACATGGTGCCAGTTACTTTTCTAAGTTGGATCTAAGGAGTAGCTACAATCAAGTGAGGATGGCTGAGGAGGATATTTACAAAACAGCCTTCAGAGCACATAGTGGACTTTATTAGTGGGTGGTTCTACCCTTTGGCTTCAACAATGCTCTTGCAACTTTCCATAACTTAATGAATGATATATTCAAGGAGCATTTACGAAAATTCATTCTAGTATTTTTTGATGATATTCTAGTCTACAATAAGACCTAGGAAAATCATCTAAAATGTTTGCAAACAACTCTACAAATCCTACAAGACAACTCTCTAGCACTAAACCAGGCAAAATGCAGCTTTGGTAAGTCACAAGTGGATTATTTGGGACATCAAATCTCCGCAACAAGTGTGCAACCAGATCTTGACAAAATTATAGCTGTACAACAATGGCCACAACCTAAAACTCTAAAGAACTCAGAGGCTTCTTTGGATTATTAGGGTATTACAGAAAGTTTATACAAGGATATGGGAAAATAACAACACCTTTAACTAGTCTTTTACAGAAGGATGCAAAATACAAATGTATCGAGGCAGCAAATGAAACATTCAACATGTTAAAATAGGCATTAACTTCAACACCTGTTTTGATCTTACCTGACTTCACAAAGCCTTTTACAATAGAGACAAATGCTTCAGGCATTGGCATAGGAGCAAGATTGATGCAATTAAACCACCCAATTACTTACATAAGCAAAGCTATGGGGCCAAAGTATCAACTTTTATTAGCTTATGAAAAGGAGTTTTTTTTATTCTATTTGCAGCAAAGAAAGTGGAAACACTACTTCTTAGATCAACATTTTATTATAAAAACAGACCAAAAAGCTCTTAAGCATCTCCTTGAACAACCTCCTACTACACTTGTGCAAAATTGGGGACTAGAGAAATTAGTGGGATTGGATTTCAGTATTGAGTACAAGAAGGGAAAAGAAAATATGGCAACAAATGCTTTATCCAGAAATAAAGGTAAAGGTAGTTTAGCAACACTTTTCATTTTGACATCTTAGTTGATAGAAGAGGCAAAAGACTCTTGGAAGGCAGATCATAGATTATAGAAGGTAGTGGACAAAATCATAATGACACAATAGCCTTGCAAGCACTACACTTATGATGGAGAATTTCTCAGGAGAAAAGGCAAGCTTGTGGTAGGAAATGATTTAGGTTTGAAGACTAAAATCCTACAACAATTTCACAACTCAACCATTGGTGGCCATTCAGGTTATGAGCTAACTTACAAGAGAATCAAATAACAATTTCATTGGAAAGGCATGGAGAATGAGGTAAAATAATGGGTACAGGAATGCAACACTTGCCAACAAAATAAGCCTTTACTACAGTTACCGGCTAGTCTTCTACAATATTTATCAATTCCTGATAGAGCATGGAAATCTATATCTATGGATTTCATAGTTGGTCTTCCTAAATCCAACTTGATGATTGTTACTTTTGTGGTAATAGATACATTAACTAAGTATGCTCACTTTCTACCTTTGGCTCATCCATTTGGAGCGGCAAAAGTGGCACAAGTATTTATGGACAATGTGGTAAAATTGCATGGATGGCCAATGGAGATCATCTCAGATAGGGACTCAATATTTATGAGTGAATTCTAGTTAGAACTTATGCAAAAACATAGGGTAAAGCTATTGAGGTCTACTATGTTTCATCCTCAATCTGATGGCCAAACTAAGACTTTGAACAAGTCAATAAAAGCGTATCTAAGATGTGTTTCTAGGGAAATGCCGAAGAAATGGACTAATTACTTGTCTTTGGCATAATTATGGTAAACAATCGCTAGTTTAACCCCTGTCGCCACCGGCCCGAAACGGGCTTTCGGCATTCCAAAAGTTAGGGCAAGATCTGCTAGGCAACCTACAATTAAAAAGAGTAGCCTAGGAAAAAGTAAGGATTAAAAGAAAATGTCCGCTAGGGAACACATCTCAAGTAATTTAGGCAAAAGTTAGGACGAAGCAGCATCCCGCGCTGAAAATCGAAAGGCGGCTCGAGAAGATCATTTAATCAACATGCAATCCCAAGTCATCACTTAACTTTGAAGGAAATAATAAGCTAATGCGGAAAATGATTTCCTCACTTTGAATGTGCTTGTTCATCAACCTAAACCACTAGCCTACCTCGGCCAGCCATTTTCCTATAAACCGTT